CTTATACCCTTTTTACAGGAAACGAGGCATTCCATCTTAGTCCTCACGGGTGACAACGCATCTGCATTTTGATTTGTAATCGAGGATAGATATAGATGTCTATGGGCCGCAGCAACCACTTACCATCAGGTGGACTGTGTGCTCGTTTGTCACCCTATCCTATAAAAAAAATCGAAACTATATTAGTGGCGTATAATACCTCAATGTAAAAAAATGATAGTTTCATTCTTCTTCATTTCTTGACTTCCCAGAATCAGTAAATCATTCTTTAGAGCAATACATAAAGGATATTACGACAAACTCCCCGAAATTATAAAAGACACGTCTATCAAAAAATTACTTTTTTAAACAAAGAATGTACAATACACATTATTGTGAACTTAATAAACTTGAAAAACTGTCTAGGTTACTGTTGGATGTTCCCAAAATAGATTTTTTCGAACAAGTGGTAAAAGCAATGACTTTCAATACTTATTATTTTTAATCCACATAGATTCCATTCTACTTGTTTTTTTTTCGAACAAGTGGTAAAAGCAATGACTTTCAATACTTATTATTTTTAATCCACATAGATTCCATTCTACTTGTTTGTTTTCGAACAAGTGGTAAAAGCAATTACTTTCAATACTTATTATTTTTAATCCACATAGATTCCATTCTACTTGGTTTTTTTTTGAACAAGTGGTAAAAGCAATGACTTTCAATACTTATTATTTTTAATCCACATAGATTCCATTCTACTTGGTTTTTTCGAACAAGTGGTAAAAGCAATGACTTTCAATACTTATTATTTTTAATCCACATAGATTCCATTCTACTTGGTTTTTTTCGAACAAGTGGTAAAAGCAATGACTTTCAATACTTATTATTTTTAATTCACATAGATTCCATTCTACTTGGTTTTTTTAGAACAAGTGGTAAAAGCAATGACTTTCAATACTTATTATTTTTAATCCACATAGATTCCATTCTACTTAGTTTTTTTCGAACAAGTGGTAAAAGCAATGACTTTCAATACTTATTATTTTTAATCCACATAGATTCCATTCTACTTGTTTTTTTTTCGAACAAGTGGTAAAAGCAATGACTTTCAATACTTATTATTTTTAATCCACATTGATTCCATTCTACTTGTTTTTTTTTTTCGAACAAGTGGTAAAAGCAATTACTTTCAATACTTATTATTTTTAATCCACATAGATTCCATTCTACTTGTTTTTTTTTTCGAACAAGTGGTAAAAGCAATGACTTTCAATACTTATTATTTTTAATCCACATAGCTTCCATTATACTTTTTTGTTTTTTCGAATGAGTGGGAAAAGCAATGACTTTCAATACTTATTATTTTTTATCCACATAGATTCTATTCTACTTGGTTTTTTTCGAACAAGTGGTAAAAGCAATGACTTTCAATACTTATTATTTTTAATCCACATAGATTCCATTCTACTTGGTTCTGTTCCATTATTTAGCTAGCCGTGTTTTTTAACAAAATTAGTGACGACAATGTGTTTCCAACAAAAAGGCAAAAGAAATTGAGAGTTTAATGAATTCCTTGACCGTAATAGCTTAAATAATACATCAATATACTTACAATTTGGGTACATTTTAGATATAAGTATATTAACCGCGTCATTCAACATTTCAATATTGACAACGAGATTTCAAAAAAAAAAATTGTTAAGAGATAATTAATCGACTCATATGCATGTGTTTTAAATTTGTCTTTGTCCTTAGTTTTGTATTTTCTTAATAATTTTCTATCTAGTCAATTTACATAAGAATGCATAATGTATATTAAACACAAAACTAATTATGAGACTCGTTGGCTTAACCCGGTCATAGTCATATAAATATATCTCATGGGTGCTATTTTTAAACAACATTGTGCACATAACGCCCTCACGTCTAGTGGCTGTTGAAGCGTTTGATATTTTATGTCCACGTGCTATCATTATATTAAAATAATATATTTGTAGTATCCAGTAGTAACTAATTACATACATTTATTATTTACTTTTATACATTCTTTAATTTCTCATTCTCCTCAGTTGAGGGAGGGCGGGAGGTGCTCTTCAAACTAGGGAAGGCACATCATTTTATTTAATTTAGCGGATGGTTGCAAAATAACTATTAATATCTCTATTACAATGGATTTCCGCAAAGTAACGCCTGATTCTATCAATTATTCTTTAATTTGTTTAGTAAGGGTTCAAGCTATAATTATTTATCTCTAGAGACCGACTTATTTATTAATAGGTACTTTCAGTAAAACATATCAGATTTATTTATGGTTTTCTTATTTAAAATAATAAGTATTGACGACTTATAGCACACTTTAACTACGAACTATTAATTATGTAATAGTATTTGTGTATTCTTTCTGATTTACATTGCAATAACACAATAACAATTTGGCTGTACCAGTCACATACGTGCACTTAAGAACCTGTCACTCCAAAAACAAGTTTCAGTCCTCTCCATTTCACATTGCAGACTTGCCTTGAGGCCAAACCTCGTTACGAATCAATGACATGGTGGTAAATAAAACGATCATTGTAGAGACATTTATGTATGTTATACGTCAATATACATATAATTTATTTTGTTTGAACTTATATTTCTTGCTACAGGTGTAGTTGCGTAGATTACGACAGTCTACCATTGGTGTTACCAATATGGCATTCATCACTAAAATCTCTAATAAGGCCGTCTGCGTCATTTGAATTTTTTTTTAATTTTAAAACTGTCGTTCAGTTATTGTAAACTACACATAACTTTATTAAAAAGAGGCACAGAAATAAATTCAAAGAAAATTTGCCATAATCTTAATATACGATAGGTCAAGTCCTCGGAGAATGAATAGCTCTCACAAATAACAACAAATAAATTTGTATGCCTAAATAATCTTTGTAGGCGCTAACTTCAGCAATAATTCAGAACTGTGTCACTTAAATCATAGGGGATGTATTGGTATCTCAGATTGGTATTTATTATTCGATGACAGTATTTCATTTACAGATAAAACATTTTGTTTAGATAATATCCTATGAGATTATAGAGTAATTCAAAAGAAATTTTAAACATAAAATAATTCGTTTATATAAGAGCTTCTCCAAGCGGTACTAAGGTTTAGAATTGGATCAGACAAATGTTGTTACTTAAAAATCATTGCGAACAATTTTAACTGGGTAAACGATTATAAAAAAAATCACTTCTCAAACTCAGGCAAACATGGCGAGATAGACGGAACGCTAAGTGAATTTTAATTGAAACCAACTCAAAACTTTGCTCAACTTATTGTAAGACCACATAAATATGTATCTAAGCTCATTTGCAAATTTGCAAGCAACAAAATGGTTTTAGGTGCATGTGAGCGCGTTCAGCAGAAGTTAAGTTGAAGTTTAACAAGCTCCTCAAAGATGACAACGTATCTGCATTTTCATTCTTAATAGTGGATAGATGTAGATGTCTATGAGCCATAGCTTCCACTTACTATCAGGTGGACTGTGTACTCATTTGTTACCCTTAATAAATAATTTACTTACTTCACTGAAATTTAATGCAATGAAAGCAACTTCTAAAATTATTGCCACGTTTAACATATTGCCTAGTACGACGTAATTTAAAACATTTTTAACTATAATTATCGTAAACGTACGACGTTTAACTGTTAACTGTTCACTAACTAATAAAGCCAGTTCAATATAAAATAATAAGTATATATTTCTAATTTATGATGTCTAATAATAAAATAGAGTATAGTTCATTAACGTTACTTTCGATAATAAACTATTAGTTAAATGTAGTTTATTATTCGAAATTATGAGAATTGTTTATTAACTATATCAGGCTATGAAACGAGTATATATTATTCAATATTAAATAATCACACAGACAGTTTTGTCAGAGATACAAAACGTTATTAAATATATAAATATATATAAAAAGTTAAAAGTTAAAATAAAACGTATTTAAATAATTTGAACATAATTTATTAGCTTCTAAATACGGAACTTTAATTTTTCGATATACTTAGTCTTAGCCGTACATAATATATATATATACGTTGGACGTATAATCTTAGCACCTATTTCAGTTAGGTACTAATTTATGTGGAAATTATTTTATTATTTTAAGTTAGTTTTTGCTGTTTTAATTTTAATTATTTCTCCCTTTTGAGTTAATAAGCATTATCTCAAGCAAGTTACATTAAAAACTATGTCTCTTATTTTACCCTTAGGGGTGGAATTTACGCTTCAAATTTAAACGGGACTGTACTACTAACGCTTAAAGTATCCAGCCCTATTTAATAAAGAAAGTTATTAAAGTTTATTCACAATTGGTGAAGAAATCGCGTAACTACATGCAAAAAATACAGCCGAATACAGAATCCATTTTTTGAAGAAAATAGTAGCAAATTTGAAGAAAATATATTTGAATGATGACTTTAGTTCAGGCGAATTTAATATTGCTAAAGAATTTAATTCATCAAATAAGTGTTTTACCCCCTCGTCTCTCCAAACGCCATATTCTGGCGTCTCAAATAATATGCGCATCTGTCAAACGCCATAATATGGCGTCGAGTGATAGCAAACTATTTGCAACATATATATGATATATATAACATACATACATATAACATATATATCTGTTATGCATAATCTGATAGCTTATTTAATAACGGTTCCATTGATATACTTACTTAGTAAAATATATATATATATATATATATATATATATATATATATATATATATATACTTAGTATACTTGTTATATACTTACTTAGTACTTCGGAAAGTGCTTGACGGATGCGCCATGTTGGCCAAAATGACCCCGACATTCGAGTGGATATTATCCTTTATTGACTTCGGTAGCTTGATGAATATTTGTGGGTAGTACTACTCGTATAGAGTATACTTTGTGTGTAGTAATTTATCTAATTGATGTAGAATTGAACCATTTTGAATTTAATGCAATGTTATTTTTTTATTACAGTGGCATTGGTGTTGGTGCATTTTTATAGCATCAGTTGATTATTCGCGCGGAGAAACTTTCACCTTGGGATACCTCACAGGGTCAAAGAGACGTCCAGGCGACTATAGCTATCAAAAACCTGGTAGAGTTATTTCAGGTAATTATTTAATTTGAAGTGAATTCAGTTTCTTTAATTTATAAGTTTATTCCTTTCTTCCTAGACATCGCCGGTCATGACGGTGATCGTTGTTTTATGACATTTATTACTAGATCGACAGCTACACGGGACATAATGTTTCAATTATAATGCCCCAAGTATACACCTTACATAAACGCATACACAAACTTACGATATATGGGGAGAACAGGTCGGAGCAAAGTTCTGCAATACCCGTCCTAGAAGAACACAAAATCTGTCTGATCGCACTCTTAATCTCATGGCTGTTGGAAATGATGCGGCAGTCTTCAATAAGTAGAACAGCATACGAGGGCGACACTGAAAGTTTTTAGAACTGGCCACTTGTAAACGATATAACAAAAAATAAGTTCAAATTTTGAAAATGAAACTCTTTGCCAATATTATTGTGTATGTATTTTATTAATTTGTCATTTGTTTACGATTTGGCGGCAAATTTAATATTGTCTGTTTCACGTCAGTATGAATATTTTCGTACAATAATTTTTATGACTTTCGATGTCATTTAAGTCAACAAGAAAGTTATGATAGACATCGATTGGCATTTCACGATAAAGCCCCATCTCGTGCCACTATTTAAAATGGTTTAATGAGTATAAACGTGGTCGCACTAATCTCAGCGATGATCTGAGTGAGGGACAGCCTTCTACGAAGATAACATCAGTGTTGTGCGGCGTATGAAAGAGACTGACAAAAGAGTGACTTATCAGTAGTTTTGGACAAGCTTACGAATCGGTATATGTCAAGTGCACAAAATCCTCAATGAACATTTAGCGGTCAGGAAGCTTTGTGCCCGGTGGATACCTCGTAATTTGACAGAGGCCCAAAAACTCCCTCGTGTTGATTGGTGTCGTGAAATGGTTCAAAGATTTAACGAAGGTGACTCAAATGCTCCATTCGGAATTTGAAATTCGAAAGTAAAGAGAGGTTAAAGCGTGGGAAAAACATGGTGGCCTCGTTCTTCGGACGGACAGGTTAGTAAGTACGCAACAATTGTTTTAGAGAATCGAAAAACGATTACTTTAGTTAATAATTGTTTGCCACTTGTCGTGGAAAAAGTTTGGGAGAAACAACTGTCGCACTGTCGCACACTGCCAAGCAAACAATCGACTACTTGGCGACGTTAGACGTGGAATTACTGGGTCACTTGCCCTATAGCCCCGACCTCGCACCTTGCGATTTTTATTTATTTCTGAAAATAAAAGAACATCTTCGAGGAAAACTTTTTACGGACGTCGAGAAAGTAGTGACTGCGTTTCAAAATGCCGTCGAAGAGACCCCTAAGGACGAGTGGGCAAAGTGCTTTTCTCAGTGGTTCCATCGGATGCAGCGACGTATTGATGTAAATGGACACTATTTTGAAAATATATAATAAAACTAATAACGTACAAGCAATTGAACAGACAACGTCTCCAAATGCTCATATTGAAGCGATTGATTTGAACCACGGTTGTTTTTCCCAGGGATCTGTCTGCTAAAAAGAGCCAACTGTCAAAATTAAAAATGATTGTGGCAGCGTCATTTCCGGAAAATATAAGATTTTGAATTAGATTAAGAGTTCCACCGAAACCGTTGTAGATACCACCGTTGGTGCCAAGTTAAGTAACAATCCAAAAGCAAGTCTCATCCGACACTACTTTAATGATAACCCAGACGTTGGCTTGATCAGAATTAGAATTGCTCTTTAGCACCTTAAAAAGGACAAAGCTCCGGGCAAAAATGAAACCTGAAAAAAGACGATTGATGGTATATTCAGCAGTAGACAATAGGGGTATCAATGGTTTTCCCATAATCCACAAAATAAAGTAGCAGAAGATTCGTAATGACTAACACACCACGCGGCTCGGAAGTGAAATCGGTTTGTAGTTCTTCAATAGAGCGTTGTTGTCTCTCTTGAAGAACAAGACTATCACATATCTACTTTACGCCCACGGAATAGGGCATCTATGAAAGACGGAATTGAAGAGCTACTGGAAGGACTTTCAAGTACCAGTCTTTCAGAAGCTCTGCTGTAAATCCATCCTCACCCGAGGCCTTGTCGGTTTTAAAGTGCTGGAGAGCCATTTTAATTTCGCACAGACTGATGTTCGGGAAATCAATAAAATAAAGTCGAATGAGACTTTCCTTTGGGTGTGTCCATAAAACTTCTCGATCTTCCTCAAAATCTCTGTTACCCCGGGAAGAGTGCCGGTATTTAATTTTGTAAAATTGACTTCTTGGGAGACAGGCCATTGGCGAAGACTTCACTTCTTCTTGACTTCTTGACTATGGAGGAGATTTGTTCAATAGCTTATAAGCCAAAATATCAGTTAAAGACGGGAAATGAGACTGCATTTCATTTCCGTCTAGTAACCATAAGATAAAAAGTGCGATTGGAAAGTTTTTGGGTTCTTCTGCGGCAAGTCTTACAATATTTTGATCCGATCACGATGACAGTTTCACGAGCTAATCATTGATTTCATCCAACACATTGCAATCTTCTAGATGCTAGAAACATTATTGTAGCTTGAGCTGAAAGCCATCGTAATTCTGGATTAGTACACGAAGATCTTGGAGCATGGGCTTCGTTGAACGGGATCTCTTTCGTTTAATGTTAACATTAAGTGTGCTTTAACCCTTTCGTGATCGCTACCTATTTTCACTCTATTGATTACACCTTCATTCAATGCTACTAGTAGTGTTTTATACCTATCGATAAGATCCAAGATCAGCTTTGGCGCAGAATGAGAGATTACTACGGGGATAATCACACATCACGTTCAGTCTCGACACTATGGTTTTCGCTAATGCTTATATTAATGTATGCAATTAGATAGATAAGGTGTGCAATATTTTTTTATAGATTAAGGCTGACAAAAAATACACAGTCCACCTAATGGCAAGTGAACACTGTGGCCCAGAAATATCATCTAACCTCTGTTAAGAATTTAATTGCAGATGCATTATCACCCCTGAGGACTAAGATGGATTTCTATAAAAAAAATACACTCACTATACAAAGCATAGCAGTATTAAGCTGCTATTTTACGCCGGTATTCTGTGCTCGTATATAGACACATGTGTGTAATTTGGATCGTACCAAATCCGTAAATGATTGTAAGCCGTGTAGTGACGGTGTCAAGTATATTCACTAACTCATATTATCCTGTTAGTGTCGTAAGAGATGACAAAGGGGAGTTAAGCCAAGATTAGCCAGGCAGCGTGGTAACTATGGCAAGTATCTCCCCTATGGGGCAATCACTACCATAGATTGATTCAGAAATAAACTTTTGATAGGCTATATGAAATGATACAGTTTATATATGTATTGTAATTACTTTTTTCCTGATTAAGTATATACCTAATATTTCTCTTAGTATCAATAAAGTTCAACGGAGAATGAAAAGTTATTTCGGTTCAATGTGAAATTTATAATCCATTATCTATAAGAGATTTTATGATGACAATATAAAAATAACGACCTATAAACTATCTACTGTAGACCACAGACTTTTTCCTCTCATTTACCATTTGTACAACGATTATGATTTTGTGAGGATCGTAAACAGTCCGCTACGCTATATGTTGGCAGATTACAGAAGTTTAGTGTTAAAAGTGTTTTCTTTTCTCCAATAATAGTAATGCAATATGACGGCCACTGCCTACTTTAAAATTTAACGGCTTGAGTCAAAGCAATCACAGCCGCTGCTTAAAGTTACAGCCTGTACACGTGCTACTACTGGGTGTATGTCTCCTCTCATATTTGAAAGGTTTATGGAGCAATCAGGCCCCCGTACTATTCCAATGCGTGTTAACGGACCTCAAACCCTCAATATATCTTAACATTTCTCAGACTTGCAGGTTTCCACAGGATGTTTTTCTTTCACGGCCGTGCTAAATCATCACTTTAAATCGCAAATAACAATTTCATTAGTGACATCGGGATCGAACCCGAATTGCGCGCGTACAGTGATTTTTAGTGCGAACGCCGAACCTCTGCTATTGTGTAGTAAATGAATATTATAAACTTTATTAAATATTTATTCATACTTAATAAATGTCATTTCAGTATTTCTAACTTAAAAAAAATCATTAAATCATGTATACTCAACTCTACCTTACTAGTACCACTTCCCCCTTATGTGTAAACAGTCTAATGTAAGTTTATGTTATAACAGGAGCTTTTACCATGGCTGTGGATGAAGTGAATGAAAAGTTACTTGGACCAATGGGACATTCCTTGGATTTTGTGATTGCTGAAACCTACGGTCAGGAAGAGGTGTCCATAAAACAGGTTTGTTTTTGGTCCTTTTAATGTGACAAACGGGCAGTCTTTGAAAAGTTTTTAATAAGTTTTTAGATATAATGTAATATACATAACATAATATAAATATATATATATATATTTATATATATGTATATATCGTGATGTATATTACAGATATTTATATATATCCCTAGCACAGGTATTGATATACTTAAAAGGAGCCCCAGTCTAGTTAATCTATTTAAATTTAAGATACTGAATAAAGAATTTTGAATTTGAATGTCATAAAAGCTTACGATTTAACGAATAACATTCTGTGTTAGTAGTACTTAATCTTTGATTAAAACTACTTTTACGGATTTTATCGCGTTTATTTTACTATTATTTTTATTCCCGACGTTTCGGGCGCTTTCCAGCACCCATGGTCACGGGGGACTGAGATGACTGACGTCCCGATGTCATTGTTAAACCCGGAGTACCTTCAGCTTTTTTAATTATTGTTTATGGTCCGATCTATGCAAAATGGAACTGACTATGTCCTGAGGTCTTACAGTGGTATGCTTGGGTTTAGTTTTAATTTTATTGATTATAGGCTCCCAAGCAGGTGGTAGTACCCTGCCTCCTTCTCTATTGAAATTAGGATGTTTTTTTTTTAATTTCAATAGCCTCACGTTCTCTATTGAAATTAGGATGTTTTTTTAATTTCAATAGCCTCACGTATCATTCTTGGTGAATCGGTGTTCTTTCGCGAGAATTTGTGGTCTATCAAATCTGATGTAATGGTTGGGGCCGTCTAGGATATGATCGCAAACTGCAGACTTCACATTCTCGTTCTTCACAGACGTTCGACGTTCCGGGAAGTCCGCAGAAGAGAAGGAGGCTGGGTACTACCACCTGCATGGGATCCTGCAATCAATAAAATTAAAACTAAACCCAAGCATACCACTGCAAGACCTCAGGACATAGTCAGTTCATTTTGCATAGATCGGACCATAAACAATAATTAAAAAAGCTGAAGGTACTCCGGGTTTAATAATGACATCGGGACGTCAGTCATCTCAGTCCCCCGTGACCATGGGTGCTGGAAAGCGCCCGAAACGTCGGGAATAAAAATAATAGTAAAATAAACGCGATAAAATCCGTAAAAGTAGTTTTAATCAATGTTTAGTATTCGCGTAAATATAAGAAATCATTAAGTACTTAATCTTATCATCAACCTGAAAAAATCCTATTTTTTTATCAAAACCTGAACTTGTTTAGATTTACGATAATACTGAAGCTTAGGTTAGGTTGATTTTATCGTCCCCTCCCCCCAACTGAATGGATTCCCGCCTTGTCATGGCGTGTAAACAAAGAGGAACCCACTTGGGTGGCCCGAGATGAAGGGTCGACCTGAGGTGGCCATTTCAAGTGGCCTTAGTGAGCCCACTTCAGATATGTGTTGGTGGGCTGCGGCGAGAGGTGTGTCCTCTCCCCCTACCACTGCAGCCCAGGTAGAGTCGCGGAGGAAAATAATTGTTGGTATGACTCTTCCTACCCTCCACCAACGACCCAAATCTTGATTGGCGGTGGAGCCATAGACCAGATCAAGATAAGTTCAGCAGGTGAAGTTGAAAGCCGTGGAGGAAGGTGCGCCATGTGTTCTGGTACGCGTTACCTGAGAAGGAAATGGGAGAAGAGTAGTCCCCTCTCCCGAGGAGGGACCGCCATGGGCCGAGCGGCGCTGGTGGGACCGCGGATGTATACGAAAGTGTTCCCCTGGCCTGCCAATATGCCACGAAGATTCGGCGCGAGGCGGGGCAAGGGCAGATTAAGCGTAGACATCTCCCCATGTAAATAAAAAAATAGGTTGATTTTTTCATAAAACTAAATCAAAAAATTTTTTCAGGTTTGTGGTAACATAAAGTAGTAATTTTTTTCTTTTTCCGGTTCTTGATCATAAGCCTAGGTTTTTGATCAAAAACCAGGTTTTATCATAAACCTGCGACATAAGTATATGTACATGTTGATGGTAATCTACGGAACCACTGCACCTTTTTAAAAAATTCTTTCATCATCTGAAAGCTACATTATTCCAGATGGGCATATAATATATTTTATGGCTAAAAAGTTAATTTGCCAACTAAGTCCGAAAAAGTCGTGCCTCTTGAGAGTTTCCTCAATAGTTAAAGATGAACGAAAATAATATAAGTATGGCTGAATTGGTCCTCTTGAAAAGTTCCGCGACAGCATATTTCTATCTTCCGAGAATAACTCACGTTAACCATTTTTATATAAAAACTTGCACGAAAAAAATAATTATGGTGGCGGTCGGCGCGGTATCGGCATGTTGGTCTTTCTAGGTTATGAAATACAAAGAATCAAATTGTTTTAAAGCCTAAACGGAACGAAAAATGTGGTATCATGTAATTTTAAAATTACTATAGCTACCTAACATTTAAGATAAATAATTGTTCAACCCGTGCAAAATCGAAGCGGGCCGCTAGTTAAAAATATTCAAACAGATTGGCCCTGGTTTAAGCTTCAATTGGACAACTGTGATAGCAAAATAACACTGCTCAACTGCCGTACGAGTATGATATTGAAGAAGGTAATCTATCACCCTATTTCATGAGTGTCGTAAGCGGCTTCTTAACTTCCGACCTATCTGTCGGTTTAGGTAGGTACTATGCAACATTTAACATACGCAATAGCTACGCCAATCAATGCGATTACGAAATATTTTGCTACAATGGAAGAAACTATATCCAAAATACCTTCTGGTTACGCAGTTTTATCCTTGGATGTCTTGTGTTGATACTGTACAGTTATAGCCTCAGAATATCGATACTCTGAGTGGTCTTAGAGAGAGTTATTTGGGAGTAATTGTAACGCAACATCACCTTGACCCCAACGAATATTTCTAACTCCCTAAGTAGCCCTCCTGTCTTGTTTATATCGATGATTTAACTCGACATGTTGTAAACAAATGCTGTTGACGCCTATCTCGCCAAATTACACAAGTCAAAGTTAACCAACCGATGCTACAGACACGAACAATTCGACCACTATATAACGATTGAGGACTCCAAAAACCACAGTACACCAAAAATTGAGTGCCAACTTTAGAAAAACAAATCTTATAGCGAAGGCATTAATAGCCGGTATACTACTTAAAAGATAAAATGATACACAACGCCGATTAGAAGATCACACAAGTATCAGGTTCGAGTATCGAGCAAATGAATAAGTATATAAACTATTCTTCGAAACCCATGCTTAAACTCAGGAGCTAATTTCTGATTACAATGTAAATATTACTTTTAAAGTACATTGCCCAATCAATGTGTATCCAATTATTTTTAAAGCCTCTTTAGTCTTTTATAGTAGATATTAAGATTTTCGTATAAACCATCATTACAGCCCCTAAGGAACGCTACAAAATAATACTACATAACAATATAACTACCTTGAGCCACCCGCATCCATCGACTTCTTGCATGTATTACCAGGTCATCACTCCATCTAGTGGGTAGCGTTGATAGCCTTTTTATTCCATTGATTAAGGGTTCTTCGAGCTAAATGGCCGGGCCATTGCCATTTCAACTGTCTGATCCTTAGGGCTATGCCAATTTATTTCAAATATTTATATTAACTTATTCCCGTTCAAACAAAATCGGATTTTTGTGAGAATCTATTTTTATAGATGAATAAATATGGATAAATGTTTTATAGCTTCTATAGTAGAGATACGATAATTTCGCATGTGTAGTTTGTAGAAATTTTATAGCCTATATACCAATATTAATAGTGGTAATAACTCTTTGGAATAGAAAGGACATTTAAAGTCAAATTGTAAGGAGTAATTCCTTAACTTCATAGTGTACACCTTGTAAACTATGAAGTTAAGGAATTACTCCTTGTCAGCCGTGTTGTGGCGGTTGAGAATATCCACTACCCCATATCTTCCCGTGGGTGTCGTAAGAGGCGACAGAGGGACACAAAAAGGAGATGGGCAGCAGCATCTTCCTAATAACAACAATAACATAATAAAAACTGCGGTTGCCAACCCGCTCGCCAAGCGTGGCAACTATGGCAAATTTCCCCCCATGAGCAACGACGCAAATAAACGGCCCCCAGTCCCCGGCGGCCCCGCTATTCCTGGCTACGGTGGCGACCATGGTAACGGCGGGGCAGGGGGTGCTAAGAATCTCCGGTGGAGGTTCGGTTGCCACCTACGACGACTCGACCTGGCAACGTATAACGCACGCACCCTGAGGACTGACGAGAAGATACTGGAGCTGGAAGAAGAGGTAGACAAGTTGCGCTGGGATATTATTGGATTATCTGAGATCCGAAGAGAGGGGGAGGACACGGTAATCCTCGAGTCCGGCAACTTGTTCTATCACCGGGAGGGCGACCATCTGTCCCAAGGAGGTGTCGGATTTATCGTCCACGAGTCTCTCGTCAACAACGTTTTAAAGATTGGGAGTGTGTCGACGAGGGTCGCGTACCTGATACTCAGAATCACCAAACGGTATTCGCTGAAGGTCATACAGGTCTACGCACCAACCTCGGCACATCCCGATGTGGAGGTGGAGGAAATGTATGAGGATATTTCTAGAGCCATGCATTCCTCCAAAACCCACTACACGGTGTTGATGGGAGACTTCAACGCAAAACTAGGCACAAGAGAAAACGGTGAGCTGAAGTTAGGGAAATTTGGAGTAGGGCAACAGAACCGTAGAGGCCAGTAGCTGGCTGACTTTATGGAGAAAGAGGGACTCTTTATGATGAACTCTTTCTTCCAGAAGCGGCCCCACAGGAAGTGGACCTGGTCGAGCTCCGACGGTTCGACAAAAAATGAGATTGACTTCATTATGACGACCAGACGCCAACTGTTCAGTGATGTCTCAGTGATCGTAAGGGTGAAAACCGGCAGCGATCACCGAATGGTTATAGGCACACTGAACCTTAACGTTAAGCTGGAGAGGTCTCGTCTAATGAAGTCAACGCTCCGTCCCCCTCGTGTTCTGATCCAGAATCCC